CTTTGAGATTGGAAGAACTGAAGATAAATGTGTCTACTTTCTAATATTGCAACATATTTTCCTTCTGTGCATGCGGACTCTGCAGGAATTACTGATGTTGGAGAGGTGCAATAGGAAAAAGAAAGATGCTCTTTTAAAGGAAGGGATGGAGGTACCTGGACACACAGGAAAGCAAAGATCACCTGGTGACCACCAAGCAGGTTACCACCAACCAGGTGACCATCCAGAGACAAAAACTCCTTACCAGAGGGATTTAGAAGTAATTATACTCCCCTATTATCTGCAGTCGGCACCTGATTCCAGGCCTCTTTTCAACTTACAATTTATAAGTAACTAGAATTTCTATACATTTCTGGAATGCATGCATGCCGAAATTCACTGTGCAACCCTTGGTAACATTAAGGCACCAAAATGTCTACAAATGTAATCATTAATCATGCAAATTACCTTTCAGTTCCCCTTTAAGGTCCATAACTGCTCGTAAGGAAGATGCGCCTCTGTACCTTGACACACTCAGTCTTCTCTTGCCTAGGCACCCAGCTGCACGCTTTTGCTGAGTTCTTTCTAAAAACGTTTTCCTTTTGCAAACCTGTATTGTTGTGGACCACTTTCTGATGCTGGGGTTCTAACACCTTGCATGTCAGGCACCTCTCCACCTGTGATGACTCATTTTATGTGTCAACTTCATGAGCCCACAGGGTGCCTGATAATTAATTAAATATTATTTTGGGAGTGTACATGTGAGGGTGTTTCAGGGTGAGATTAACATTTGAAACAAGAGGCTGAGGAAAGCAGATGGCCTTTCCCAGTGTGGGTGGCCCTCATCCTGCCCATTGATTTCCTACCTGATTTCTGCCATTTTGACTTAAGTAAGCCAATTAAGAAGACAGACGTTCCAGCATCTCTACGCATATTCAAATTAAATTGAAATATGTTTATACCTGGTATTGAACAGTTTTAACATAACCATGGCTAGTTAGATGGTTTTGATCTGGCTGCTCTTATGAATTACAGATTTACTAAACTAAAGAATGTTCATGCTCCATGCTGATGTGTTTAGAACAAAAACAAGAGGTTAAAATCTGAGGAAATTTAGCAAACATTGATTTATTTGTTCAAAAAAAGCAAACAAACCAACAACACACTACCAAGAGCATTTACCCTGGAGCATGGGAAATACTTTTAGGCAGAAAGAATGAAGAATAAAAGTGTTCTCCCAAAGGAACATGAAATATAGAATAATGAGAATATAATGTGGCAAACTGGGGGAACCTGATGGAAGCCAATATTTGGAGGAACACACAAGGGATTGATAAAGTTGCACTCCGAGAGTTTTTTTTCTGAGTAGAGGGAGAGAACCATGGAAATAGAGACATTTAAATGCAGCCGTTTAACATGTTTCAAAATATGGGAATTTTCTTGAATTATTGCTATTATTTTGAGACACAGTTTTATTCTGTCACCCAGGCTGGAGTGCAGTGATGCCATCAGAGCTCACTGTAGCCTCAACCTCCTAAGCTCAAGCCATCCTCCTACCTTAGCCTCCCAGGTAGCTCGGGCTGCAGGCACATGCCACCACACCTGAATAATACTTTTATTTTTTGTAGAGACAGGTTCTTGCTATGTTGTCCAGGCTGCTCTTGTACTCCTGGCCTCAAGCAATCCTCCCACTTAGGCCTCCCAAAGTGTTAGGATTATAGCTGTGAGCCACTCTCTGTGCCAGCAAATGATGGGGACTTTAAAATGAGATGTAAATATGTCTCTTGGTCCTCTATGCCCTCTTACATAACCTTGGCTGCCAAATGTTGAACACTCACCCTGTGCCAGCTTTTATTACAAGTTATTAACTCATGTGAGGTAGTAAATTATTTGCTCAGATTTTGTCATAGGTCCCCAGCACAGAACTTCTGAAACCTTTGGAATTTCCTGAGAGAAGTGTGTCTTTCTTATGCTAATGAGGTGACTCAGGGTGCACTGAAGTTAATAGCCTCAGGATGCGGGCTGGTCACAAGAAAGACCAACCATGTAATTGGAGGGTTGGGGAGATTTTCATCTGCCTGACCTTTGGGGATGAGAGATGGCAGGAGATGAAAGTCAACAACATGGTCGATACTTGATTGATCCTGCCTACCAAGCAATATATGGATAAGAACTCTCACCATTGAAACTCAGTAGAGCTTCTTGGATGGTGAACACATTGATATGCTGGGAGAAAGGTATATCCTGATTCCATGGGGAACCTCTGAATTGCCAATTACTTCTTGGATCTTGCCCTACATACATCTTTTTTATTTCTTCTTTTTTTTTTTTTTCTTTTGATACAGGGTCTCACTCTGTCATTCAGGCTGGAGTGCAGTGGCACAGTGATGGCTCACCATAGCCTCAAATCCCTGGGCACAAGCAATCCTCCCATCTCAGCCTCTTGACGAGCTGGAACCACAGGCACATCCCATCATGCCCCACTAACCTTTAAAAAAATTTTTAGAGATGGGGGTCCCACTAAGTTTTCAAGGTTGGTCTCAAACTCCTGGCCTCAAGCAACTCTCTTGCCTTGGCTTTCCAAAATGCTAGGATTACAGATGTGAGCCCCAGCACCCAGCCTATGTGTATCCTTTATAAAAAACTGTAATCATTAAGTATAGTGCTTCCTGATTGAGTTCTAGTGAATTACAAAATTTGAGGGGTTCACAGGAACCCCTGAATTTATAGTAACAAAGTGCAGGTGGCCTGGAAACTGGTGTCCATGGTATAGGAAGTCTTCTTGAGGTTTAAATCCTTTAACTTGTAGGGTCTGAGCTAACACTGGATGATTAGCATGAAAGCTGAATAGCAGTACACTCAGTTGGGGTTGCAACAGAATAATACCTGATATGGCTTGGCAGTGTTTCCACCCATATCTCACCCTGAATTGTAGCTCCCATGATTCCCACATGCCAGTGGAAGGTAATTAAATCATGGGGGTGTGTCTTTCCTGTGCTATTTTAATGATAGCGAATAAGTCTCATGAGAGCTGATGGTTTTATAAAGGGGAGTTCCCCTGCACAATTCTTGCCTGCTGCCATGTAAGACATGATTTTGCTCCTCCTTTGCCTTCTGCCATGATTGTGAGGCCTCCCCAGCCATGGGGAACTGTGAGTCAATTAAACCTCTTTCCTTTATAAATTACCCAGCCTTGGGTATTTCTTTATTAGCAGTATGAAAACAGACTAATACAACACCCTGGTTATACATACTTCCATTACCATTGGAGGTGAAACCGCCTTTGCAAAATTATGATGGTAGGAGAAACCTGACATAGTTGACTCCATCTTGCTTCTTCTGACCTCCAAGATGCTTTGGTCATTCCCTGACATAAGTCAAGCTAACTTTAGGAGGAATTTAGTTTGTAGTTTGATGTTAAAGCAAAGCCCTTCAACTAAAATAAACTGACTTCCCCAAAACTAAACCACCTTGGAAAGGCAACAAGAATAGGATTATGGGAAGGGCTTGAACTCTGCTAAGATTTAGGCATAGAATCTATAATTCCTTACTGCTCAGGGGTCATATGGCCAGAGGTCACAATATGTGTGGCCTTTGCAATTGCTCCCAAAGATAATATCACCATTGTAGAACCTAAGATTGCTTTTTTCCAAGTTGTTTTTCAGACTGACCCCAGCAGGACTCATGACTTGTGACTTAGCTGGTCCTATGACCCTACCCAGAGGTGGAGTCAATGCATGAGGACCATTTTCCACACCCTTGTAATTTTGCCCATAGCCAATCAGCAGCACCCATTCCCTAATCCCCTGTCTACCAAATTGTCCATAAAAATACTATCATCCCAGGGACACTGATGTGAGTGATAACTCTGTTTCTCCCTTATGGGTCAGCCTCACATCAATTATACTCTCTCTCTACTGCAATGCTGTATCTCAATGAACTGATTTTGCCTTTACAGTGGGCAGGAAGAACTCATCAAGCAATTATAGACATAGATGTTGTTATAAATCCGTTTTTGAAGATGCAGAAACTGAGGCACAGAATAAATAATCAGCTCAAGGTCAGAGAACAGTTGAGCCAGGCTTTGGACCCATGTAGCTCAGTTTCAAGCCAATGTTCTTTTATTATTATTATTATAGACACAGAGTCTTGCTATGTTGCCCAGGCTGGTCTTAAACTCCTGAGCTCAAGCAATCCTCCCTCCTTGGCCTCCCAAAATGCTAGGATAACAGGTGTGAGCCATTGTGCCTGACCCCTATTTTTTCTCTTTATTACTTTAATTTTAATTTTATTTTAAGAGACAGGGTTTCACTATGTTGCCAAGAGTCATCTGAAACTTTGGGGTTCGTGTGATTCTCCTGTCTTGGCCTCCCAAAGTACTAGGATTACAAGTGTGAGCCACTGTACCCCCAAGTCCATGTTCTTAACACTGTCATGTTCTGCCTCCTAATGAAATGCTTATGTGTTATCCAAACTCAAGGAAGATATATTAATAATATATCACAATTTTAATTATAATAGAAGGGTTGAAAATGTTCAACCCTTGAAAGAAAGATAGGGAAGCAAAAATGCATATGACACTATAATAAAAGAAAGAGTCACAACCACAGGTATGTCGTTATTGCTGTAAATCTAAGTAATTTTTCTGGCATTTTATAGAGAAAGAAATATAGCTGTTATGATCCCAGGAGCCATATTTGCATATGCAGACATTTTCCAACACGATAAAATCTTCGGAAATCCCATCTATATTGACTTTAGTATAGAAGGATCTGATCAAAGTTTCATCAAGTAATACCCTCCACTTCTCTTCCAGTTCCTGCATAATTTACATCTCTGTGGAGAAACCAGTCTTTTGATCTGCCCCCAGGAGTTTTAGGGATTAAAGTCCCCAAGGCTATCTGTGAGCTCAGTGACTAGAGTCTCTGATATACTCCCATTCCATAAAAAGCAAGAGGCATGCCCCAAAGTTTGAAACACTGCAAGATGAGGAGGCTTTCTAATGAATATATTTAATTCAGTCTCTATAGATACTCTCAAAAATTACCAATGCCAACTACATTTCAAGTCGTCATGGCTGGGTATTGGGAAAAGTTTTCAATTAGCAATAATTGCGCGTCGGATAAACCTCATCGGCTACGATACTGCCACTGCACAAAGCTCTAATGAATATATTAAAGGGAGGTTTTTAACTGTGTATGGGACTCATGGTTTCTCCCCATCACCTTTCCCCTAACGCTTTCTAAAGAAATTCCATCACATGACACTGCAATGCTTAATATGCCATAATTCCATGTGTTGTTAATGTTATACAATATCAAAATGAAATTGTGATATTTGAAGTGTGCTCATAGCACAATTTGAGAAAATATGCCAGTTCTGAAACTCTGCCAACATCAGTTTGAAAATCTTGCCATAGATTGTTCTTACAGATATGTTAGTCTGAGTTCCCCTAGGGGTCAACCCGAGACCAGGAGTTGGGTGCAGCGGGCTTATTTACGCAAGAGCTAATCCAAGAAGCCCAACTGGGAAGTGGGGAGTGAGAGTTAGAGAAATCAAAGGGGATGTGTTAATAAGCGGAGGCTTAGTCACTCTCATCCCCGGGAAGAAACGTGTGGTCTTGGAAACACCCTCACCCCAGGGAAGGAGGCATTTGATCTCTGACTCCCTTCTTCCATGTCCAGGGGCTGTCTGAGAGGTTTTGACCCACATACAGCTGAGTAAGTTACCTAGGGACAGAGCCAGTCCCGAGCTGAGAAGAAGGAAGCCAGACATGCTTGAGTGAGAGGCTGACAGCTTGCTGTGAAACCTCTAGTACATCTGCTGGCTGTGAACCCTCTAGTATACCTGTTGGCGAACGGAGAACGGCCAAGGGAATGTGGGTGGGGCATCCACCACCTTCCACAGATGGAGCTTACATGACTGTGCTGAAAATAATCCTTGACACATTAGAGGCCTCCTTTTTAAGGACTCAGAATGCCAAAGAAACTTCTATCCTTTTCAAAGGCACTTCTGCAGCACCATCCAGACTAGAAAGACAACAGGTCAATGGCACCAAGCTTCCCTTACTAAAAATAAGAAGGCTGTAAGGGACAGGCATCAGGTCTTCTATGTTGGCAATATGTCTCATACCAAGAAAGCGCTCAATCATTTTGTTAAATGAAGGCAAGAGTCGATGAATACCACTGTGCCCTACACATTCAGTTAAGACGAATAGCAGATCATTTGCCGAAATTCCCAAGGATGTTCATTTTACATTCAGAAGTCTGAAGGAAGAAACAAATGCTTTTTTTCCAAAAGCTTTTTTTCATGTCATTTTAAAGCACATAAAATGGGTCATTAAAGTGAAAGTCTTAAAAAGAACCACTGAAAGGGAGAGGGGTTTTTCCATGGTGTCTTTATATTTTCTTAATTCCATTTGAATAACTCACTGTAAGTTCTCTATAGGAAGAGAATCACGTATCAGAATTTCTCAAAGGTCAGCTTGGAGAGGGTATAGGCATGAAGCACAGCCATTCCTATATTTTAGACACTGTGGTATGATTTCCAGAAGGTCCTTTCCGTGATTACATCTATAGTTTGAAATTTCAAAACTCTAAGGCCAACATTACCAATGTTGGTTGATAATTAATTTGCAAACGTTGGTAGATGGGGTGATGATCACTTACAATATCAATTCAAGACTAGCACCATCCAACAGAAACATAACACAAGCCACAAACAGGAGCCATGCACATGATTTTAAATTTTCCCATATCCTCATTTTAAAAAGTAAAAAGATCAAGTGAAGCCAAATTCAGTAACATATTTTTATATAAGCCAATATACCCAAAATATGATCATTTCATTATGTAAATAATTTTATTATGATTATTATTATTTAAGAGAAGGGCTCTGTTAAGTTGCCCTGGCTGGAGTGCAGTGGCATTCACAGGCATGATCATAGCATGCTATAGCCTCTAACTCCCGGCCTCAAATGATTATCCTGCCTCAACCTCCCAAGTAACTAAGACTATAGTCAAGTGCTACAGTACTTGGCTATATATCAATAATGTTTTATAAACTACTGAGATATTTTACATTCTCTTTCTTGTACTAAATCATTGAAATATGGTGTGTATTTTGCACATAAAACACATACCAATTTGGATTGCTGTCCAAAAGAAGACCAGGATGGCTATTTAGTAGAAAGGATAGCTTTCCTGGTGATATCAGTTTGTATACTGGGGAGGAGAGTCTCTGGTGTGGACCAAAGCACTCTGTCTTCAAAGATGGAAGAGGCAGGTTAGCTTTTACACAGAATCTCACGGGTTCTGTATTACTCAGTGGAGTTATACATATTCAACAGGTTTTGGCGGAAAGCTGTACGTATTTATGATGGGGGTAAGTGCATGCACAATGGGGAAACATATACATAACGCTAGTCTCATATTCACCTTGGGGCATGGTTTTTGCATTAAAATGAGTGACAATTTGGCTCTTTACATAAAAGGTGAACTATAGCACCCATATCCAATTTGTGCACAGCTTCTATAGGCTAGCTGAAACTGGCATAAGGACTACAGTTGCTTATCAGAAAAAAGTGTTTATAAGAGTGGTCCTCTATCCAATCAGTTATACTGGTCTGGTTTGTACACCAGAATTGGGAGATGTCTGATCACTCCTTTTGTTAGGGAGTTTAGCAAGGCTATGGTTCTGGCAGCCGCAGGAATTCAGGAAATTGTCATTCCAGCCTAGCCCTTAACCCTCGACCAGTAGGTTATTTTTGTCTCCTTAACCTTGGGGTCCAAGTTAGTTGATAAAGTGGGGTCTATTTTGGTCTCTCAGATCCCAGGACTCACAATGTTCTATGTGCCCATAGCCACATGCAGTGAGTGGCCACTATATTGGATCATTCAAGTTCAGCTTATCTTGTGGGGAAACTTGGTGAATGATAGAGTTGAAATCAGTGAATAGGATTCAAGATAGAGAAGGGACTATCTTCCATAGGTGGTTCATCCACTGGAGATTCTTTTTGTTAATGTACTACCCCCTTCTAGTCATAATGCAATACCAGAGTTCTCCGTTGGTGTCCATGTTTGTGGCTGACTGTCATATGGCAGAGGAAGTATGGTTTGGAACATTCTGAAAAACTGAACTTAGATGAAGTTAAAAGGATGAGAAAGGAAGCTTTGACTGTAGAAGATACTTCAATTGTTCTGAGAATGAAGAGTTGGTCTAGGTCCAGTCCCACTTTTTGGAACTACACAATGTAACACTTGCCAAGAAATGTTCCTATTTCCCACTTATGACTTGTTTGGTCTTTGTTCCAAAGACCAAAGCAGGGAACCATATTGATTTCCTTTGCCTACCTGCAATACATTATCACAAATTGAGTGCCACATTCATCATCCCACAGTTCCAAAGGACAGAAGTCCTTAATGAATCTCACCAGTGTCAGTAAACAGTTGATTCTCGAGGCTCTGGGAAGAATCTACTTCCTGGCTTTTTCCAGTTTCTAGAGTCAGCCTGAATTCCTTGCCTCCTGGCCTCCTACCATCTTTGAAGCCAGCAAATGTTGGCCAAGTATTTCTCAAATCATATCATTTGATTCTTCTACTTCCCTCTTCCCCATTTAAATAATCCCTGTAATTCCATCAGACCACCCAGATAATCCAATTAATCTCCCCAATTTAAGGTCAACTGGTTAACAACCTTAATTTCATCTCAATATGAATTACCTTTGCCATGTAAAGTAACATATTTAAAGGTGTTGGGAATTAAGATATAGATGTTTTGGGACAGAGCTGTCATTATTTTGCCAATCTCATGTTTATTCCATTGTAATTCCTTTTCATTGTTGATGCTGTTGTCTTTGCTGAAGCCATATGTTCTGAAACAAAATGCCCAACTAAAGTAGTACATGTTTGTCTCCAGAGTATAGGGATATTTTAATTTATTGACAACTATTCTTACTATTTATTTTTCACTCTTATTATAGTTTAGGGGTTAGGGTTATTATAGTTAGGGTTAGGGTTAGGGTTAATCTAGCTATTGCCTGGACTAAAGTGATTATTGTATGTCTTAATTACTTTTTAGTTTTAAAGTAAGTAGCTGATTTACTATACAAGACAACTATCTACATAAAATCATCTCAACCTTCCCATCAAAAATACCTTCTAACATATCTTTCTAAATTTTCTCTCATTCAGAGACTTGCAACTGTTGCATCAGAGCACAGAATGATTTTTCCCATAAGACATATGGAAGAAGTGAAGCCAAGAAATATTATAACACTTTTAGTCACTTGGTAAATGTGTCAATTTTGGGAACTGAACCACATACTCAACAGTAGATGTTCTTACTGTTAGCAACATCTCTAGAGCTTCCACATTCAGAAGAGCACATTCCTTCTTAACATTATGTGAACAAGTCATTGAATTTTAAATGACTGTAACTTTTTTAGACAAAAGAAAATAACTAATTGCCATTTGATTGAGCATTCCTTCAGATTCCTATATCATGGGAGAGATGCAAAAAAAGTGGAACAAATTTACACAAACCTCATAAGTCAAAATATATATACATCTAAGCACACTGAGTTGATTAAGCTAAAAAAAATACTTTTTTTCTTGAGGGTTTAGAAGTAAATTTATAGCTCATGGTAAAATAGGACATCAAATTTGGTTTCAAAACAAGTACTCACAGCAATGGAAATGTAAGTTTGTTTTTCCATTTTTAAATTAAGAAAAGAAATTTTTAAGAGACAGTTTCTCTCTGTTGCTCAGGCTGGAGTGCAGTGGCACCAGCATACTTCACTGCAGCCTCAAACTCACAGTCTCAAGTAATCCTCTCACTTTAGCTTCCTGAGTAGCTAGGACTACAGGCACATGCCACCATGCAGGACTATTTATTTATTTATTTATTTATTTTTGTAGAGATGAGGTCTTGCTATGTTGCCCAAGCTGGTCTTGAACTCTTGGCCTCAAGCAATCCTCCTGCCTCAGCCTCCCAAAGTCCTGGGATTATATGCACGAGCCACCTTACCCAGTTGAAAGATTTTTTTTTTAATTTAAAATGTATGGTTTTTTGTATTACTTACATTATACCACAGAATGCAAGACAGTATACGGTTGTCAAAAATTTTTAAACTAACAAATAGAAAAGTAAATTCAAATATTCA